ATGTAAGAAGCACACGTTAAGGATAATGCGTCTTTGCCATGGGGCTGAATTTTAAGGTGTTCACATCTTTGTCGGTAATTCAGCGCTTGCTGCGGTTGAGTCAATATCATCGTAAAGCTTCGCTGAGCTTCCTCAAGCAGAACACGGTCCGACTTACGTAGATTGCTGAATATAAAAGAGTAATATTCTAAATGTGGCCTGACGTGACTCTTAAAAATTTCTAGCCTAGCATCGGCGGTTTCTAAGCAACGGCGTATGTGGAACGATAATCATCTTACCCTTGCGACTTGATAATGCACTTGCTCTGCAAAGTTGAGGCTCATAGAGCAGCGCAAGCCCAGATCTGTTGCTATGATATTCTGTTTGATAGTGCTGCCGTTTATTGTTAGGGACCCAGCAGGTATAGAGAATCTGTGGGTCATGACATTAGATGTTTGAGCGGAGAATGTCATTTGCCGGTGTTCGCACCACTTTTGAAGTGCTTTAAGATCCTCACGGATACTAATAATTGCGGAAAATTCATTACCACGTGGAAAGTCGTAGACAACTTTCACATCGTCAGCAAAGATAAAGGAGCGACCGTGTTGCAAAATCTTTCAGAGGTCATTGATATAAAATGAAAATAGGGTGCGGCCAAGGACACTCCCCTGCACCACGTCGCTGGGGACGGCGGTCCGGGTGGATATAGTTTGCTCAACCTTAACAGACGGCGTACATCCTATTAAATAGGAACCCAGCCAGTCTAATAGAGGACCGTCTACCCCATAAGCCATTAGCTTATGCATCAGGCGCATGTGTGGTACCCTGTCAAACGCCTTTTGCGTATCAAGGTAAAGAATGACAACTGATTGATTAGAGTCAATGGCCTCGGTGACCAAATTAAGGAAGTCCAGCTGACAGGTTGCACAAGACCGAGCACTTAGAAACCCGTGCTGAGATTCATTTATGTGCTCGTCTGCGTAAAATGTGTCGTGAGGGCTTTTTAATCAACTTCTCCATCACGCGCGAGATGATAGAAGTGTGGTTAATAGAGCGATAGTTACCAACTTCCTGTAGGCTTCCGCCCTTTTGTCTTGGCGCTATGATAGAATGTTTCCATGCGGCCGGGCATTGACCTTTTTGCATTGATAACGTAAAGATTTTCAAAAGAAGCATAGGGATATCTTCACCACCATTCTTAAGTAGACTGGGCGGGATTCCGTCTGGACCAGGGTCCCAGGATGGCTTGGTAGTTGAGATCGCGGAACGGACACTACTTAGGTCAAACTGTACAAAGGACAGGGACTGGCTACCGAGTGCCTTCAGGGCCTGAAAGGTTGAGCTTATTTCTAAACACTGCGATTCTTTAAAATGTGAGCTGAAGGCTTCACGTAAAATACATGGGTCACCAGACGTTTCGTTGGGACTGACCTTTCGAGTAGAGATCTTTCGTCCAAAGTTAGGGGTTCGAGAGCGCAGCAGCCAACTGAGACTCTTAGCTTTGTTCGCACTATTTAGTGCAGCGATTTCTTGCTTGGTTTGCTGCTGCTTAGCTCTGGCAGAAAACTGGTGTGCCATCTCGTTCGCACTCATGATGTGAGCAAAATTGAAGGTTTTGTAATAGGATCGTCTAAACTGACGCATTCTGTTATGCATTTTGGTTTGGGTCACACTTTTGGAAGAATGCCTTATTAAATGCGACAAGGGAGCTAGAGAGTCGAGAGAGTGAAGTATTTCCTCATAAAACAGCTCAGCCGAGCGATGCACAGAATCAGACATAAAGAATTTATCCCTACTTTTTGATCAAGCGAGCACAGCAAAGGTTGTCCAGTTGACGAGGTGCATCGGGCGGTATACTAAGACTGCATCTGGTTCTGTTGGGTGGGCATTATGTTGCTTTAAGTAAACCGAGCAATGCACTAATCTGTGATCACTACCCGGAAATTCCCGGCCGACTGCCACTCGAGTTGATGGGATGCCGAGAGTAAATATTAGGTCAAGGATGTGTTCCTCCCTGATTGGAGCAGATACAAGTTGCGTCCAGCCGCCTAAATTGATACATGCTTATAGGGCAGGTAGGCACCTTGTCAACATGCGCATCAAGCGCAGCCACGTCGGGGATATCAAACAACAGCCAAAAACTTGAGAGAAAGAGAGAGAGAAAAAAGAGATAAACTCGATTAATGCATAAGGAAACGGTGACATAAACCTTAATTTAATGAGCATATGTAATAAGTTGTTTACAAACAAACCCTAGATAGGTGCACGAGGACAGAAAGTATAGTTCACGGAATGCCACGAACATAAAAATGTCATGGAAATCGAGTACAATTGGTTTAAGCGAGGTGTGCTAGTTAATGGAATAGAGTACAGGTGGATGTTTACACCAGAAAGAAAAACATAAATGCAAAATTTAAAACCCACCACCTGAAATAAAGAGAGTTAGCATGCAAGCACGCCGTTAGTAAATCGAAAGTCGAAAGCGGTGTACCTACAAACGCTGCGCCGGTGCTGCCTACGTTCACTGCAGGACCCGTCGTCGCTTCGGCAGTGGTCCTGTGTGACCTCTCTCATGACCCACTAGGCCTGCCTGACTAAGGCAATCGCGACCGCATGTTCTAAAACACCATGCTCTCGATGTCGATGGAGTACAATTTATCGGTGCTTGCCGCTTCCGCACTTGCCGCTTCTTCTCTGCATGCATGAGGGCTTTCTCCCGCACTTCAGCAACTGCCTTCCTGATTAGATCGCGCCCTGCACGCCGATCAACTACCTTCGATTTCCATGATCTGCAATTAAGATTAGAACGTGTGAGGCTAACTTTAATCATGTCCTGGTTATGTAACTTTGGGTTCCCAGCATGCCGCTTCCCAATACTCAGCTGACCGTATAAAAGTTGTTTCGGTATCCGCGTTGAATCCATACGGCTCACATGACCGAGCTACCTCAGGTGTCCAAATAAAAGTATGCAGTCCAATGCATACATCCCACTTCGGTGCAACACATCCGTGTCTGCAACTCTGGCGCCTCAGCCGATACGCAAAATTCGTCGCAGACACTGCTGATGAAACCGCTCGAGATATCGCACATCCCGACGGTACGTCGTCCACGTTTCACTGCCGTATAGAAGAACGGACAGCTAGGAAATACATACATACCTACATATAATGCAATACAAAAATAATAACAGATACAACAGTTGAATGCCAGCTGAGCTACCAACAACGGATAGGCCTCGTTCCGGTAAGCTTCCAGCCAGCTACTAGGCAAAAGTAAAAAAGTTTTATGTTTTACCCTACGAATTGAAATAGTAGATGGAGGGGGAGGGACAAAGAAACACGCAGCACAAACGCCACTGAGATCGGGTCCTAGCCATATCAGCAAGTGCATCCAGCCGAACGTGGCCACCGTCTTTTGGACCCCAACCAGGGAGCCGTGACGCTCCAACCGAGGCTAGATCCGAAGTGAGGGACTTCATTCTCCGGGACCAAGTCATCGATGGGCCACCTCTCCTCTTCTTTCACCCACATCCCCGGTGAGCAAACAAGGCACGTCGAGGGAGTCGGTGGGCTGGCATGCGTAACACGTGGCCGAGCCATCGGAGCCTGGTGCGGGAAATAGCGGTGCTGAGGGGTTCAGATCCTTTTCCTGGGCCGTAAACAATGCGTCGAACACGCTCGTTACTCACGCGGCGTTTCCACCAGATGTGAGCCAAACTCCGAAGGCACCGATGGTCAACGTACCATGAGCGGAAGGCAATTCAAAGAAATGGCAAGGAGCGGGTAAATGCGGACGGCAGTGCGTAGTTATTCGGGACTGTAATTGCGCTAAAGCGCTCATGATGCTACAGTCCAAACCGATCAGAATCTAGAGAAAAGAGTCACAGATGGTTAAAACTGTCGTGCAATGGGAGTCGTTATCCCACGTACGGCCACACTAATAGACAAATGCCAACATATGAAGAGAGATAAGGTGAGCATTCTAATGGAAGTAATAGTCGAGAAACACTTAGCAATGGTCCAAGTGCCGCCAATAATCAGGAGCGGGGTCGGAGCGACGGCGACCATACGCACGATGATTAGTTGGTTCGGCGCAATGCGTGTAAGCCGTGGGAATAAAAATATAGTTCAATAACAGAGAAAGCCATGGATAAGAGGGAAATAAAAGCAAAAGGGGTCTAGACGCAATTGAAATGGCGCGAAGTCGCTGCCAGACCATGTTCGGAAGTGGCACGGACATGCAAGAAAATTGCTTCCTCGAACAGAATGTATGGCGTCATAAGGAGACCATTCTCTAAATGACGCCGCAAATAATTAGGCAGCTCTTATCCTCTGACCTCCGTCCATCCTTGAATTCGTACTTCCGGCCATAGCCCCTCTATCGAAGCATGAAAGTGACATGATGGAAAAATTCAAACTCGAAATTTGTCCTTCGGCTACGCGAACTCTCGTACCCCGCCGAAATACAGAGGATGAACATTTTTCCCACTAGTCTATCGCCGACGTGGCGGAGACCGCATCTATACCAGGCGTATCCTACGAAGAGGACTGGGAAACTAGCTGAGGCAGTTTTTCAGCTAAGACTTGGCAGTTCGACTCGTGGTCACAGCTGGAATCTGTTTAAACCGATAAGGTTCAAAGTCCGCTCAGAGGTTGTTCTCTTTACTAGAGTAGTTAATGACTGGAACCGACTGCCGGACCCGATTGTCAATGCGCAGTCAGGAGCGAGATTAAAACGTTTGCTAGACGTATTTCTACTGATCATTCCAGGATCCTGCAGGACTGATACTGCATCCCGAGCAATGCCACAGCATGCAATACTTGGAAGATCGGAAAGTGAAGAAGCTGACACGGAACCTCCCTTCTGCTCTCTGTCAATCAATGAAAATGAAATGAAAAGTTTTTTTAATAAAAATGTGACGGACTTGCAGTTGTACAAACCCAAATAATATCCCCATATGAAATACCATGAAAACGCAACCGAAACTTAGTCGTTGTACTAAGACATAAAACACAGTTTCGCCACATTTTACCTTGAAACGGTTTCCCAGGTGGACAAGGCCATCATCTTTTTCAAATGTCGGACGAAGAAGGAGAGGAATTTGAAGAAGAAGAGGGTGTGTACTTGGGAGTAGGTTTTTATAAGCTAATAACATAAACTTTGCTAGGAATACGAAGGGGGACGAAACGAAAGAGAAGAGCGACACGGCTACGGCAAAGCTATTCTACCAAATGGGGATACATACGAAGGTATGTATGAAAATGGAAAAAGACAAGGACAGGGTGTGTATAGGTAGCTTTCTATTCTTTCTTAGCATTGCTTCTTTAAGGTTTAAAAACGGAGCAAGGTATATTGGTGAATACCAGGAAAATAACAAACATGGTACTGGAACCTTTTATTACCCTGACGGATCTATATATGAGGGTATAGTGCTATATCGTTTGTAGTAATTTTAGGTATGTGGGCTAATGGACAGAGGAACGGTAAAGGGAAATACACCTATATAAACGGCGATGTATACGAAGGGGAATGGCGTGATCATCTTCGACATGGTCAAGGAACATACACATTTGCTCAGTCCAAAATGCGATACGAAGGGTTGTGGAAAAACGGAAAGATGAATGGCCATGGTGAGCTTATACACAGCCACCACAGGTACATTGGCATTTGGAAAGATGGAATGGTATGTTTTCCAAATAATAGTTACCGTACTTTTGCTAAGTAGTGCTATAGGTTCATTTAAGCGAGGTAACCCACAGTATTGCTTTTAACAACGTTAAATATGACCCACGAGTTAATGACAGTAGTTGGTCTTTACTTGCATGTTGCAGATTTAGGCAATCACCTCAATGAATACTGGGTTGGGCATGCTGTGTTAAGATTATAAATTAAGAGGTAAACGTCATGTACAAGTCATAGCGCGTCGGTGGCGCGTTATAAATCAGCTTTACAACAACCGACCAATGGTATGCCAACGGCGAACAAACGAAGAAAATCTAAAAAGCCCTTATTCAATGGTTGCTAAAGTATTTAAAGCTAACAACTTGACACTAGAGGTGAACTGTTTAAGGGTGATGTAAACGGGCGCTGATTTTGAGGACCGGCACTGGATTCCTATCGTGTCCGGTTGGTCGCACACCAGTCTCGGGCCGCTTGAGTGCAACTCAAACAAACGAGATAAGTCTAAACAAGTAAACCGCCTAATTCCCTAATAATTAATAATTATAATTTTAGATTATTTTAGAATGCTTCTGATCGTCGGACGATTGTAGCCCTATTTTACTACAATTTCTTCCAAAAAAAGCGGCTGCGGCATTATTGCGTGGGATGAGAGCTCATAACTACTTTATTCATGCAAGATACCCACTAAAAATTGTTCATAATCTATTTGTAACCACAATTAGCTGAGATATCGGAGAAAGATGGTAACCTTACACTATAAAATGGCTTACAATTAGTTAAAACCGTTGAACAGTTACATAAATAGGCAAGTTTGTTTCAGTGGGTGTAGAGTTGGAAGTGATTAAAATTGAATCCACACATTTTCCTGTAAAATTTTCCTGGCCATCATTTTTGAATGCCATCTTGTAGTTCCACCCAGCTGTGAAAAATTCATTTCACCAAAACAGTCGGCTATTGACTAAATAATACAGCGTTCTTCTCAACAAAAGACTCAATCAAAATACATATCGACATTGACCCAATTTACCAGCCTCTGCGACGGAGAGAACTGAGATAAATTACGAGACGCCGCTTGAATAGGAAAAACCCGAGCGACGACCTCTGCCAAGAGGAAATGGATAGCGATCACGGGACACAGATCCAAGCTGTCACTTTCGAAAAGTCCCTTGCACGCCGACCAAGGATCGACGATTCAACCAGCGAGTTAACACTCCACATCTCAACGCACGGATGATACCGCCTCGCATGGCAGTGAGAAATTTGCAAACAAATTTCCCAGCACGGCGAACGAATCGGCAGCTGGATTATCCACCCGAGCTACCAGTTTACCGAAACATTTTAAACAGCCACACTCTATAGGTTGGGGCTGTTAATTTTTGTTTAATCTTCAAACACAATTAGTATGTCTGATAGAAAAAGGCACAAAACAAAATTTCTCGTTCAGAAAGGCTCTGACGCTAGTGGATCTAAACTCCAGCACAAAACGTTTCTGAACTCTGGTCGACAGTAAAAGTTTAAAGCTGTCAATTGCTAATTGCGCCATACTCTGTTTGTCTACTTGTCATTTTCAGCCTGACATTGACCGACTCTCCGTGTGCAGTGCAGTGTTCAACCTTCCGACCATTCTAGCCAAGTAGCTATTTATTCCTCTGGTTAAATTTGGACAAGATCGAAATTACGCTGTGGCTGATCAGCTGTTGCATTTCACACGTTTCGTGAAAGAGTTTGGTCTACTCCCATCTGCAACCTTAGTCACACGGACAGCATCAATAGTCCTTACCAAAACCAACTTCGTGTGCTTTACTTTCTCTAACTAGACTTTGCGTTAATCCTGCAAGATTGCCACGTGCCTCTTCGTTTTAATCCTTCGACTGAGGCTAGAGTTCGACTCACCTGCATATTGCCTTAGCATCCGAGGTGAGGTGCAAACGACTGAGTGGGTACAGCGGGTGGCCGCCACGTTTATCCCCAATTTATTAAGTATGCATTAAAATGACCGGTGGTAGATGCTAGTATATTATACATTGTGTTATCGCTGAGAGCAGGTTGACTTCATCATAACGCACTAAATATTACACCACGTTGAGTGGCACGTTAAAGCCACTGCTTCAGTTGCGCACACCAAGTGGAACGGAGACATAGGTACAGGCTCATATTAACGTGCTGCTCACCAACTATTTTGAACATAGAGTTGAGAACTATAACAATAGTTGCCCCTTCAAGAAGTCGCGAAATCTTTGCGATTACCGATTCAACTTAGACAACCGAAAAAACAAGCACATAAATTCAAAATTTGAGTCTAGTTAAACGACTTTCTTCCGTAATGAAATCGGTTGTGCACAATAGTAATTATCTACACGGTATACATTTTGCCATCCAAGACCATGGAATATATGTGCATAATTGGTACAAGGAGCAATTAGTGGGAAAGATCTAAAATATATTATTTTTTACTCTGTATTATTATCTCCTGACGGCTTAGTGATTTTAGCGGTTATAGGTGTAGCCAATGCATAAATTCATGCAATGCTAATGTACCCTATTGCACTCTATGACCCCAACCGGCTTTAATCAGCGACGTTTCTTTATTATTGCTTTTCAGCTCGGAAGGGTTACGGATTCTACAGTAGCCTTACTAGAACTCGGCGCCCTAAATATTTGTTGGCAAGTGGTAGCTTGACCACCGCGCGAACTTTTACAGTTTAGTCCTCCGCAACCCACTCCGGCGCGCAGGTGGAAACGAGCGCACGACAGGTATATAGACGTGACTCAACCACGAACCAGACCTATCCACTACAAAATAACCGCTGTTAAACACCGCAATCCGACACGTCATTCACACAAAGCGGCCAGGACCAACTTTTTAAACAGTAGCGCGCAAACACGGATTATAAACCCTGCCCTTTACGGAGAGTGAAACATGACGGCAATAGAGACGCATAAGATTAGCGAAATCTGATTAGGTTTAAGTACTACCGAGATAATTTTTCTTCTAAGTGTGCCATTAGTAGGTAGATAAAGTGATATACTTTTTAATAAGCAACACTGGGGTAGGCAGACACTGATCCTTTGGTAGGAGTTTAAATTTAGATGGGCGCGATGTCCTTGCCGAATCTGATCACTAGTAATTGCCAAATGGTTCAGTATGACCTGCATAATCTGTAAGTATTTAATGAGCAAGGAACTGGCATCAACACAGTCCAAGTTAGTCGCGTAATTGCCTGCAACTAGCGCTAATTCAGAACTCTACAAACCCTCCTTAATATTTAATGGGTCATGCTTAATTACAAAATTGAGGAGAAATGGGGACACAACACAACCCAGCTGCACACCTCTTGTGAGGGCGAAAGGTGAAGAGAGTAAACCGTAAAGTTTCACTCTGTCATTGCTAGCGTTGTACTATTCTCGAAGCGTGGAAGTAAGCTTGTCTGGAGTCCCATTATTTTGAGGACATCGCCATAAAGCCAACCAAACAGAGATCGAAAGTAGCTCGAATATCTAAAGAAATGAGAATGGTGTGCGGGTAGTAAATGCGCCGCTACCCAAAGTGTTGCTGGAGTCTAATCATGTAGCCGTACCCTTCACAATGCGGAAACTGAGCTGTCCTATACAGTAGTGTTGTTCTCAAATCGGTGTTAGCCTTTGGAGTATAATAAACGCAGCAGTTTGGTGACGGCGGACGTTTCGTTGACTTACAAAGTATAGGCACACGTTTTGGAGTTTGGTACGATAACTGACTTAATTCGAGGGTTGGAGCCATTTTTTATACCAAATCGTGCAGTACAGTGCCGTCAGCTGACTGACACTTACCAGACCACCTGACTTGGACAACTCTATGCGCTGTCACGCTGAGCCATCGACCTTCAATCGCTTCAAGTGACGAAGCATAGACAGGCCTTTAATTTGGTGGGTAGTTTCACTAAAATTTCCCAACGAGAGCAAAATAACACACCTGCTAGACAGCCAAAAGGGTACCAAATTAATTAAAGTTGGAAGTGCTGAGTCCAAAGGTCCATGCACCTACGCAACTTTGTGATTATCAATCCACCGACATCACAACTAGCTTCGCTGTTTCTAGGTCTTCTGTGGACAGTGGTCCGAACAATCGTGAGACTCATGCAAGGCATTTCCAATGCGGGTTGCCTTCCTACATCTGTAGCGCGCTGAGGCCGCTGATTTTTATGCTCGTTACGTAAGCTTTCCATAAGTTGCTGACTGTCGCTCCGGATCTTACCGCAACAGTCAAATAATTTCAAAGAGTGGGCAGCGATCCAGCTTCTCAGTAGACGCCAAGTGGTTTCACAGAATGATTTACCAGAAGAAATATACACCTGCAAAAAATACGCCAGTGATATGTGACACATGAAGGTGGAGCACTAACAAACGTACTTGTGAAGGGTGATTAATTAGACAGTTAAATGAAGAGGTATGCTAGCCTGTTAGTATACAGCATATGGTGCTTTGGTTCCGATGGAGCACCAAAGTGTATGCAGATGTCTGCATGAACTGGGGGCTGATCTGAGTCAAAATAAGTAGACTAACTTGATTTGCAACCCCGCACACTGTCCCGCCATCAAAAGCTTATTGATTTGTGACTAATTTGTGACTACGCTCGCGTTGGAGAAAGGGGACGGTGGGTGGAGACCTGACTCCTCCTATACCTAAGTTTGTGCTCGACAGAAGGAGTCAGTTTTACCCAAATAACGTCAGAGATCTATCTAAGTTATCAGAACGATTCAATACAAAAGCATAAAGGCCATCAAGCTGACATTTGCATGGCAGCAAGCAACAAACGATTGCTTGCAAGTCTCTGGCAAGGCAGATGACATTGGATTTTTCTGATTCACTCATACTAACGGATTCGGAGAAAATTCGTCCTTAAACTAGTGCCTAAATACAGCCATTTGATGCGTAAATGACGCTCACAAACCGACTACTTCTTTCAGTATGAGGCTTTTTGTTAATGTGTGCAATTCGTGTATACCTTAAAAGAGCGTTGGG